GCTTTCTAGGTTGTGTTGTAACTGGTGCCTAACTCCAGCAGTCCCTGTGCGAGAGGCGGGGTCCGCCTGGACAGGTCTCCAGTCCATCACAGGGCCACGTAGAGACAAACGAGACAACCATCACACTGTCACCCACACCCACTTAAAGTTACCGGTTAACGTACCATGCATGTTTTAGATCTGTGGGAAGAAACGAAAGAACCCGGAGAAAACCCACACGTGCACGGGGAGAACATGCTCCACCGAGATAGGCTTCAGGCCAGCAGACGATCCTGCAATCTTCTTGTTAAAAGACAGAAGCTCTAACCGCTGTGCCACCTCCAGGGCATGCTAGCTTTTTAATTTATCAACATTAACAAGACATTTGTTCGCTGAACTGTATCCAGATCATGTAAATACTAATAAATAATAAATACACGGTCCCAGTCTTCAGGAATGTGTAGCATGTTGCCCTTCAAACCCTTTGCACGCCATGTGGCCTCCAACATGGCATCTTAATGTGCACAATGATTGCTGTGTTCCAATTAACAAAATACCAACAGAAATCTCAGTTGGTAAATGAGCTTTTCATGTGAGGGGTTGACCTTTCATAGACATCCTAATAATTGATCACTTAGATAAACACAAGCCACCATAAAACCCATTATTGCCCCTCCCACCGCCCTTCTATGAATGCCCAGTGTAATTAAGCCCTGGGGTAATTGGTTGACTAATTGCTGCTGATTCTATACGTACATCGTCTAACGTCAAACTCAAGAGGAAGCTCTGCAATTTATTTTAATTACCTGCTGTTAGGTTTGACTTTAGTCCCAAAGTACTGGTTTTGGTGTAAGTTTTGTTTTATGGGGGGTTGAAGGAGGTCACGGCCCAAATGGATGGTTTTCTTGTTGCCCCTCTACACACACTCCGTGATGAGCAGACACACTTCCTTGTTGTCCTCTGTGCACAGGCTTTTAAGGCAGCAGACCCATTTATCATGTGTCTGTGTTCGGAGGAGCTGCTATTCATTGTCTCTCCTGCTTATTCTTCAGGAGCCGGTCTGTCTCATCTCCCCACCTTTCTCACTACTTCTTCCTTTGTCTTTCTGCTCCCCTCACCGTCTCTCCTCCTCCTGTTTTTACTTCCCCTTCTATCGCTCAGAGCTTCTGCACGCCTCACCTGACTAAACGAACAAAGAGGTAGAAACCAGTTACTTTTTCCAAACTGCATGCTTGTTTCAGACTTAGATGAACGGCCATGTTGACTCTACCCAAATGGTTTTTAACCGTTTCGTTCTTGAAACAGTAGCTCAAACTCCAAGCATTCTTTGGTCAGTCTAAAATGGCGATTTCAAACCAAGAAGGCCTTAGAGTGTAAACCCAGTTAACACCCAGAAGCTTTGGAAAAGTTTAAAGTCAACATTCTGTCTCGAGTCAAATGACTCTGGCGTAGTCTCTGGAATTTTTCAGCTACAGCTTCACTTGCAGTGATGAAAAGATAATAGCTGGGTGAAGATGCTAATTTTCTCCCAAGTTTCTTTATTTAGAAGTGTGAGCGCAGCAACC